TTTTTTGATAATTTAGTACAATTATTTTATTATTATGTTTTTATATTATATTATAATATATGATATGTGTTCTGATTGTAATACAAATAAATTTAAAATAATCTTGCAATTTTGCTACTTTTTTTTAAGTACTATTGATTCTGATATTCACACCGGAACAACTGTACTAAACGTCAAATGATTATAGGATCGGGAAGTTCATAAAATGCTTCAAATCCTATGTCGTTCTCTAATATTACAAATGGTGTTGCATTTATATTTCAATTTATATGTTCATCAATATATTCTTACCTCATATTTCATGATATTTTAATGTATAATTTTATATTTCTATTTAAATATACATGCAGTCTACCTTTCATGAAAAAAGGTTGTACAGTTCCAATAATTTTGAATCAAAAAGCATCGTCATAGACATTTTGAGTGATGACGAAAAGGAGAATACAATTATTACTCCGCCAATCACTATTTCGTCGGCTAAGCGGTATAGATCATGTTTTGTATCAAATGCGAGTGATGTTATCGATTTAACTCAAGATGATCCAATTCAACCCACTGTTGAAAAGAGAAAGCGTGGCCGTCCTAGAAAGATTATTGAATCAACCCACTGTTCAAATTTAATATTGATTATACTTTCAGAATAATAATAATAGTAATAATCTATATCTATATCTATATCTATATAAAATGGTTGTTAAATTCCTTTTTAGAAACTTTGACCAAATAAATAAATCAATTGACTTTCTATATATAGACTATTTAAACAATGCATAAGAACCATAATAAAACTGAAAAATAGAGCTTTTCAAATTTTCAAAGATAAGGGTAAGAGCAATAATAATCGAACTTCTAAACAAATTAATTAAACAATTTATATTTGAGTCAATCCAACAATTCATAGAAACTGTAACAGAAAATCAAATATTTTAGGACCACGTTAGAATTGTATTTATGAAAATTCCACACCAGTCTTATCATAAAGTTTCCACATTAATAAAACTTTTAAACAAATAAACCAATAATTTACAATATAGTTCATGTACACTTATATTATCGTAATTTAAACAAGATGTGTACATTACCTAGGTAATCATAATCGAATCAAGTTTAAAAAACATAATTACTATAAGAGTCCTTAATATTTGACATTAAATAATATAATAATATAGTTTATCATGTTATAGTAATAACAAAAATTGAGTTAATGAGGAAACACGTGTAATGGGAAAGTTAAAACATGTTATAAAATCAAAACAACTAAATCAATTAATTAATTATTCAAATCACTTTAACTTATGTTATCATCAAATCACAATTTGAAGTCACTCAAAAAACTTAAAATGACGTTTAATTATGACACACGTGTACTAATTGGTCCTCTTTCTACACAGATAAAAAAATCTTAACGACTTAACTAATTAATTTATTTTTTAAATCATTTGGACTTATCTTATAATCAAAATACAATGTGTTCAAATTATTATTCTAAATTAATATAAACATAAATGTAAGAATCACAGTATATGTGATCGATTTGTCTAGAAACTTCATTTTCTGCATGTAAAAAAATAAAAAATAAATAAAAACAAAAATAAAGAAACGACCGACACGACATAGAGAATTGGTCGGGGGAGGAGAAGAAAAAACGAAATGAAAACCCTGAAAATCTGGACTTATGACCTAATGTTTGTTTAATTAGTGTCGATGTTATGAAACATAGTCCAATACTTGATATATTTTATGAAAAATGCTACAAGTATATAATAAATATACATATCGGTGTACATAATTCTCATAAGGAATGAGGTCCATTTGATTTTTTATTTTTGGTGGGTCTCACTCAATATGAGTGCTATGTACACACGTATGTACAATAATATGTACATATAATTTTTTTATATCCAATTAAACAAATGTTATTGTAGTGATTATTATTATTATTATTATTATTATTATTATTATTATTATTATTATTATTATTATTATTATATTATTATTATTATTATTATTATTATTATAATTATTATTAGTCATGTCTTTTCTATTTTATTATGGCTATATATAAAATTACCTAAAAAAAAAATACATAAATTATAATTTTTCCGTGCATCGCACGGGAGATTACTAGTTTTAAAATATAAAACGGACAATCAAAATAAGTTTTATTTATTACTTGTTTTTGAAAACGTATTGTGAAAATACGTTTTACACTATTTTTTCGATCGTTTAAATTATTTTACAAATATAATTTTAAAACGTATTATCGGAATACATTTTGTTAAAATACACGCACCTTTTATTTTTAGTCCACAAATTTTGTTTTTCTTTTTATTTTTATCCAGTTATTTTTTTTGTTTTTTAAAAAAATACATCACCAAAATATATGCATGCCACATAAACGGTGGGCATATTAACATGGGCCCACGGTGGGTAGGGGAGCATTTCTCTTATAAACTATCCTACATATTTCAGTTTTGAAAAAAAATGCAGCTCCAAAATTTCAGTTCCTCCGGAAATTAATGGTGGAAAACAGAAAATGGGATTTCTCCATAGTTGGCTGCTTGGTCTCCTTCATCTCTGTTGTTTGTACCCAGCTCACGCTCTCTTTTCTCCCTCTCATCCTCCCCACCTCGTCCCTTTTCACTCTCCTCCCCCTCTCAGGTTCCTCTAATTGTGTACAGTTAGGTATAAAGCGATTTTTCTTGGGTCTTTTACATCAAATTTTGATCAATTGCAGCTCTGCTGCTTATAATTGTCGTGGGTTTGGGGAGATTCTGCAAGAGGGCTGCTGGTGTGAGGGCCTCGGCTCCGGCTTTTGTAGTTCTTAGCATTTTGTTTGTGTGGGCTCTTTACTTCTCCGTGATTCGCCAAGGTACTTTCGCTGCTAATTTGAAATTCTTGTGATTTTATGGTGAATTCATGGTCCAATTGTGGAACACTTTGCATGAAGCTAGAGTGAGATGCCTGTTGATGGGCTTGGATTCTTAGTTTTGGTTAGGGTTCTAGCTGAAATTGGTATCAGAGCCACGGTTGGTAGCCAAATGGTTTTAGAATGGAACTTCATTTGTGCTTGTATGTTGGGCTTGATGGAGAATTGGATTTTGAGTTCTTGGTCCTAACAATTGGTATCAGAGCCACGGTTGAGGGGAGGTTTGTTTGGTGTGCAGGTCCAATATATAAGCTTAGTGGGATGGAACCCCATTTGGTGAGGGGAGGTTTGTTTGGTGTACAAAAATTAAAGGTTTCAAGTCCAGTATATAAGTTTAGTGGATGGAACCCCATTTGGATTTGTATGTTGGGCTTGATGAAGAACTGAGTTTTGAGTTTTTGGTCCTAACAAGCTCAACTAGAATTTCGATTATATGAAACTTCGTTGGTCTTGAATAAGTGATCAATGTATTTTGTATCAGTAATTGTGTGATTTGCATTTTGTGCAGTTATTTCCCCATTCGTGGATGTTGTGTTCAATGTTGAGGTTATCATGGTGATCGTTGGCTTGTATCGGTCAGTTGCTTATTTTTGCATTCGGGGATTCATCTTTATGCATATATCTATAAGCAACGGAATGAAAAAGTCGATTTGTATTTTTATTTTTATTTTTTAACAAGTTTTTTTCATTTATTTTCTTTACATCATCATAGTACTGTTAGCAACAGTTTTTTCTGACAAAGGAAAGAAAAAGCCACATTTTTTAATTGAAGTAGCACATGGCTATTGACAATGGAAGTAGCACACAGCTATTGAAAAAGAGAAGCAGCACACGGGTGTTGAAAATTGAAGCTGCCTTTTGTGGAAAAAAATGGTACAATTCCTCTCTATAAATAGAGATGGAATTCTGATGAAAATATACCACAACAAAAATACAGAAAGAAAAGAGGTGTGAGAAAGAAGCAAAATATTTAGCTTCTGTGTGTATTTGAGTTGTGAGCAGTGAGTGAGTTTGCGAGTGTTTTGTAAACACGAGTATTTTCTTTTCTCCTAATAAAATATCTGCAGTAGTCCGGAGACGTAGGCATTATTGGCCGAACTCCGTTATCAATTTGGTGTGTTCAATTTTTTATTTTATTTCACTTTTATAGATCCGACTTCATGGAAATTTCAGCGTATTTTTCCCAACAAGTACCATATACTGACAGCATTTTTGTTGGTTGCAGTATTATGTCGTTGGACCCTGGCTATGTCACCAATAATGATATTTCCTGCCATGACTTAGAGGTTCTTCATGTTCATTTATAGTTTGTTAATGGTAGCAAGATCTTAAGATTACTAAATGTTCTGTTTTAGGAGTTGAAAATTTCAGTGCCTATAGTACACCGTGAATCTTTGGCCCAAGAGGTAAAAGATGCTTCTACTAATTTTATATTCTCGGTGAAAATTATCTTCTTTTTTTCACTCATCATTACATCCTGTTATCGGTGATTAGGCTTCATTCAGCTGGCTTTATGCATAATTTGAGTTTCAGAATTGACTACGTGTTGGACCAAATATTCCGTGTGTGATTAATGCTTTTTCTGAATGTTAAATAAGTATGCAGATTGGATATGTGGACATAGGGTACTTATTAGGACAAAAGGATTGGAAATACTAAGAACCGGTAGATTACGAAATTGTGGTCTTTCCCCCGAATGTAAGCTATAAGCTCTTTCCAACGAGTAGTAAAGTTCAGGTTCTGATTAGACATGCACTATTGGACAAACGATACTTTATGCTTCAAATCGACTTTTTTTTATCAGCTAATCATGAAGAATAAGAATCTTATTTCTGCTAAACTCTGATTCATGCATACTTGACCACATTATGCTATGTTCCAGGTTCTTACAGGACAAAGGAGTGCAAAATATTGCACGCACTGCAAGCATTATGTTATGGGTTTTGACCATCACTGTCCTGCTTTTGGAAACTGTATAGGTAATAGCCTTTTATCTCTTGAAGATGGAACTGAAATAAGTTGTTCATATTTTTAATTGGCCATACTATTATCTATCCGTTTTTGAGTTGTGAACCATTGTTTTCCATGCAGGTCAAAAAAATCATCGTTTCTTTATAGTGCTCCTGGTTGGATTTGCCGCATCTGAGGCATCTTTTGCAGCATGTGCTTCCCATTGTGAGTCCAAAAGCTAACTGGCCTTCAGTTACTACCTTTTCCGGTACAGTATTCATAATAAATCTGTGATAAAGTTATATAGACCTTTTGATTTGAGATTGGATAGACTAAGGTAAAAATGAAAAGCTAAAGGACAAAGATTGAATTTTTTTTTTCTTTTTTTTTTCTCGAGATTTGCCGAGAATTTTAGGGTGTAGAGGAATTCTTAGCGGAAATTTTAGTGGCGAGAGTAATTGAGATCTCCTTTCTAAAACATATGCAGCATCTTTATCTTGTAAAACCTGATTACGGAAAAAAAAATAAAATAAATAAATAATAAAAAAAAAAATTGGTCATCATAAAACTGTAGTAGTACATCTAGAAATTGTTAATAAAATGTCGAAACTTATATTTCAATGCCAATAAATTTTGATTAAAAAAAGCAATAAAAATGTATTGCTACGAAAGTAGTAACATATTCTTGACAATGCCATCCAAGACTTTGTACTGGCTGAATATATTCTTGATCCTAATTAGTAACTGACGATTGAGAATCTTGATAAATTTTGATTAAAAAGAAAATAGCAATAAATATTGAATATTATTTGGCTCGAGTATCTTCTAGCTTGGTCTGTTAGTCTCACCTTTTATCTTAATCCCTGTGGCTCCAGTTACTGCTAAGTTTGGGACCTCAAGTGGAGTTGGATGGAAGGTGTGCTACACTATAATTGCACTTTTTTTATTATTTTTTTTTTTAATCTTCTATGCTTTCACAGTCGATTTTCCGTTCTCACTTGTAAATTCATTACCTCTTATCACTTGTATATTTTATTTCACCAGGGTGCAGTATCCAGAAATTTTGTCCTCAGTACCATGTTGTTCTGCCTAGTCCAAGTGTTTTGGCAGGTTCTCTCTCTCTCTCTCTCTCTCTCTCTCTCTCTCTCTCTCTCTCTCTCTC